TTCTTTGATCTTATTTAATGATTGCTATATAGCAACAGCAGGCTAATAATTAAGGAACATTCTGCCCCCTTCAGAGGCTTTGATCTGCAGTGATATGACTATATTTCTGTCTGGTTGAGTTTCTAAGCTCTCATTAATGTCCGTAAAAATTGGTCAAAATCAAAAGGGCAAAAGGCAAAAGAACAACAACCAAAAACTCACTAACATCTGAAATTTCATTTTCAATTAGGTATGTGATCACTTTCATTATTTGCTTAGTTTTCAACATGAGGAAGCTTGGCGTTTTGGACTCTACTAGAAAGTAGTCAAAAACACGTGCCATTTAGAGCAACCCCACAACCTGTGCTCAGAACTCCTATTTTCTAGATTTCTAAGGAAAATCTCTAGGAAAAAAATTATGCAAAATAAAAATGTGCATTTAAATACTCATAGATACACACACCCAAACAGGATTTATCTTTTCTTTTAGATTTTTCCTTCTACTTTTTTATTCTATTAGAAGTCATGAGAACTCAGAGTTTTTCTGACTATGCTATTTTTTAATTTCTGAGATTTGCTGGCAATTCAGGTACAATAGAAACCATATGTTTTACTTTACTGGGAGCAAAATAGTATAAGTGGAAATTCTTTTTTTTTTTTTTTTTTTTGCGCCCCTCCCCAGAAATTCTAATAATTAGATGTTAGACTTTCTGAATTGATTACCCAGTTTTTGTGTCTTCTATATTACTTATCTCTTCTATATTTTTCTTTCGCAATTCTTCAATTGAATTCTTTAATTTCCAGGATAGCTCTTTCTTGTGTGAATTGTCTTTAAATTTTGTTTTGTTTTGTTTTTACGAGACAGAGTCTCGCTCTGTTGCCCAGGCTGGGGTATGGTGGTGGTACCATCTCAGCTCACTGCTACCTCTGCCTCCCACATTCTAGTAATTCTCTGCCTCAGCCTCCTGAGTAGCTGGGATTACAGGCACCTGATACCACGCCTGACTAATTTTTGTATTTTTAGTAGAGATGGGGTTTCACCATGTTGGGCAGGCTGGTCTTGAACTCCTGACCTCATGATCCACCCGCCTCGGCCTCCCAAAGTGTTGGGATTACAGGTGTGAGCCATTGCGCCTGACCTTTTTTTTTTTTTTGCATTTTGTTCTGGTTTTATGGATTCAATACCTTATTTTTGTCTTCTGCTTCCTCGTGGTGCTCTGTTTCCTTCAAGTTCCTTTTAGTTGTAGAGGTCATTGTTTAGGTTGAGCATGGTTTCTTTCTTTGATTTTGGAGTCTTTCTTCAGGTGCCTCCATACTTCTTGACTGAACATTCATTCTAAGTGGAAGGCACTGAAACCTGGTTGGAAGTTCCCTGCGAGTGCATGAAACTGGCACCTGGAGGATTGTGCTGTAGATGGCTGGGTGGCTTTTCTGATGGAGAACTTTCAAATGTAGGTTTCAGAAAGTCTTTTCTCTTGAGCTAGTCTATTCAAAAGAGGAATAGCCAACCTAGAGGTTTATATGCTTGTTTTCCTCCATTCTGGAAACAGAGTGCAGGGAGAAGAAGGAAATGAGGGATTCTACAACCCAGACTTTTAGCTAATCCTCTCCTGTGCCTTGTGTTCCTGAGCTAGGGGTGGGGTAGAGAAAGTAACAACCTGTCTTTGAGGAGGGAAAGGCTGGTGCAAGGGGTGGGGGGCAGGGGGTGGGTCTCACTGCTCTACCTTCAAACAATTTCCATGATTTTTATCCTGCTTTCTTCCCCCAACCTTTGAGGTACTTGATTTCTTATAGTTTGAAGCCATTTTTGAGCACTCAGAAAGGTGAATCGAGGTTGCAGTTTTCTTCACTGTCTTTGGCAGGTTGCTTACCACCAACTTTCTTTCCATCTCCCAAAAATGTGTTGACATTTTTCAGCTGCCAACTCCTCTCTTATTCTTTTTTCTTTTCTTTTCTTTTTTTTTTTTTTTTGAGATGGAGTTTTACACTTGTTGCTCAGGCTGGAGTGCAATGGAGCAATTTGGCTCACTACAACCTCCGCCTGCCGGGTTCAATCAATTCTCCTGCCTCAGCCTCCCAAGTAGCTGGGATTGCAGGCATGCACTACACGCTCGTCTAATTTTTTGTATTTTCAGTAGAGACAGGGTTTCGCCATGTTGGTCAGGCTGGTCTTGAGCTCCTGACCTCAGGTGATCCGCTTGCCTTAGCCTCCCAAAGTGCTGGGATTACAGGTGTGAACCACTGCACCTGGTGCCCTCCTGGTGCTTATGTAGTTATGGTTCAAGTATGTCAGTGACAAGGACAGCACAGTAATGAGGACACAGAATCAGCAAGTTCTTCACAGAGTCTGTTAGACTGCATTCTTTTTTTATTTGGTGAGATGGAGTGTTGCTCTGTTGCCCAGGCTGGAGTGCAATGGCATGGTCTTGGCTCACTGCAACCTCCGCTTCCTGGGTTCAAGCGATTCTCCTGACTCAGCCTCCCGAGTAGCTGGGAATATAGGTGCCCACCACCATAACTGGTTAATTTTTGTATTTTTAGTAGAGATGGGGTTTCACCATGTTGGCCAGGTTGGTCTCGAACTCCTGACCTTGTGATTCTCCCGCCTTGGCCTCCCAAAGTGCTGGGATTACAGGTGTGAGCTATCGTGGCTGGCCTCAAGCACTGCTTTCTATTGAAAAACTTTATTTTCTTTTTCCTTAGGTTAAGCTAAAGTTTCTTGCAGAATTGCTACTTCATTCTAGTCTCTTATAGGCTGCATGGTGTTTTTCTGCCATGAATCTGGGGAGATCTAGTGCCACTTGACCTTCACAGAGATTCTTAACCAGATGGGTTTCAGAATGTCGTCTTAAATTTGGATGCAAATTGTACGAGTGAGGGTTTGTTTTTTTTTTTTCCTGACGATAGGGTCATAGGTTTTGTTAGCCCTCAAAGGAGTTTGTGACCCCAGGATAATTAAGAATCAGTGATTTTTGCTGAGTACTGTGGTTCACACCTGTAATCCCAGCACTTTGGGAGGTGGAGGTGGGTAAAGAAAAGGAAGAAGAATTAGTGACTTAGATTTTCCTCACTTTAATTTGTGTGTGTGTGTATTTCCTCACTTTAATTAAGAACCTTTACCTTTTTCATTTGGTTTTGTTTTTTTAAGACAGAGTCCGGCTTTGTCACCCAGGCTGGAGTATAGTGGCTTGATTTTGGCTTACTGCAACCTCCAGGTCCTGGGCTCAAGCCATCCTCCCACCTCAGGCTCTCGAGTATCTGAGACTACAGGTGCACACCACTGCACCCTGCTAAAGGGAATTTTATCTTAAAAATGTTTTTAGGCAGGCACAGTGGCTCATGCCTGTAATCCTAGCACTTTGGGAGGCTGTCACAGGCAGATCACAAGGTCAGTAGTTCGAGACCAGCCTGGCCAGCAAGGTGAAACCCCATCTCTACTAAAAGTACCTGAGCATGGTGGTGCCCGCCTGTAGTCCCAGCTACCCGGGAGCCTGAGGCAGGAGAACTGCTTTAAAAAAATAAAAAAAAAAAAGTTTTTAAAAACATTCTAATCAGTCTCTAACCTAGAGATGTGCTTAGTTACTGATACCTGGCCCCTGTTAAGCCTCTGTTCTTCATCCTTCTTCCAGATTCCTTTCTCCCTATCCAGAAATAGGAGCAGTACTGGGCATCAACCCCCTCTTTACTTCCCTTAAGTATGTTTATTTGGCAACCCCATACTTAACCTTAAGTATAGAGTTAGGAAACCTTATTTATACCTAATTGTAATAATGTGATATTATTGAACAGAGTTAGAAATCCATACTTCCAAGTATGGATTCTCTCATGTTTTCAGTCAAATTTTCAATTTGGAATGTTCAAGTCCAAAAATCAAGTTTAACACACATTTATTTAGCAAACACTTTTTTTTTTTTTTTTTTGAGATGGAGTCTCACTCTGTCACCAGGCTGGAGTGCAGTGGTACGATCTCGGCTCAATGCAACCTCCGCCTCCTGGGTTCAAGTGATTTTCTTGCCTCTGCCTCCTGAGTAGCTGGGACTACAGGCACCTGCCACCACATCTGGCTAATTTTTGTATTTTTAGTAAAGATGGGATTTCACCATGTTGGCCAGGATGGCCTCGATCTTTTGACCTTGTGACCCGCCCACCTCAGCCTAAGTGCTGGGGTTACAGTCATGAGCCACCACGCCAGGCCAGTAAACACTTTCTGTATGTAAAACCTTCCACTCTGTTTTGAGGGAAAGAGGAAGGGAGCAGGACATATACACATGAGTCAAACCCAGTTCCCACCTTCATTGAGATGGGACATTTTGGAAAATGCAAGAAGTGCTGTGGGGATTCAGAGAGGAAGAGAGTATTTCTTACTGGAGGGTGCAGAAAAAAACATCCAGAAGACATCATAATTGGGCAGCACTTCTTATCACTGGCAATGCTGTAAACCTTCCTTTTCCACATCTTAAAAATAAGATGCTGGGCCTGGACGCTGACACCTGCTCAGAAAAACTCAAAAAGTAAACATAGGAGGAAAAATCAGCCTTTGTCATAGAATGAGACATAGAAAGAAAGAGTGGAAACAACTAGTATAAGACAAGTTGTATAAGAACATAAAGTAGTAAAGGAGATAAAATATTATTATTTGAATAAATATGAGAAATTTTGAAAACCAGTAGTAATCCAGAATCTTTGTCATCATTGCTATCATATTATTTTTAAAATTTGGTTTTAAAGCAATACAAGGCAATATGTGTATTTTCCTAAACTTTAAGGAATAGAAAAATTGTTTTGCTGGAAATATGTACAGACTGTATGGGCTTTTCTAAAATATAGGTTGAGGGGTGTGTGTATATACTTTTTTCTTCTTACTAAATCACATGTAATCAAGTATCTACCACTGACATGAGGCATAACTTAAATTTGTGGAGTACTTTTAGATCAGTGCTTACAAAGCAGTTTCACATTCATTATAAATCCTGTACAGTACATTAGCATAGGCTAATAATTTTCTTACTATCTATTCTTAGGTTGAACCAGCCAAATTTTCAAGACAGCTCACGGCTTAGAGGAAGGCTCATCTAAATAAAGGCCGGCTAAAGTGACATCACAGGGATTTAATCCTTCTCTGGCTGCCTGTGTGACCAGAAGGCTGATTTGCAAGTTTCTTCTTTCCTGGGGTCCAGATTAATAGGTCTCCAGGGCTCTGCGGCCTGGCAGCAAGAGAAGCACGAAATGAAGGTCAGAAATGAGTTTCAGCAGCAGGGACTTGGGGGCCTCCCAGGGGCTTTTACACACCAGAGTGCAAGATTTTCTGGCCATCAAGGGGAATAGCAAACAGAAGCCTTTGTCCTGGGGCACAGCCACCTACCACAAAGCATCAGACTCCACATGTGGCCAGAAAGTTCCTGGAGTCCCATCAGGGCAGTGGGTATGTAACGTGTGCCTAATTGCACAGCTAGAGCTTACAAGTTCAATGTGAGGGAAAGTGGGATATGTCTTGAGTGAGGCGGGCAGCTACTGGCTGGGCTGGGCAGTCTTGGCTACCAGGTTCACTGCCCTCCTCTCACTGAAGCTGACAGGGAGGCTGCTCAGCTCTCAGGAAAACTCTCTTGAACTCTGGGCACCTGCTGTCCTCAGTTGGCATCTCCCACCCTGAGCCTCTTCTGCTCCTGCACAACCTGCCCTTGATTGGTGGCTCTTTGCTGAGATGGAGACGTGAGTCCCCGTGGACGATGACTGCAGTGTACACGAATGGAGGTGGCCTGGTGAACCCCCACTATGCCCGGTGGGATCGGCGCGACAGCGTAGAAAGTGGCTGTCAGACCGAGAGCAGCAAGGAGGGCGAGGAGGGACAGCCCCGCCAGCTGACGCCCTTCGAGAAACTGACACAGGACATGTCCCAGGATGAGAAGGTGGTGAGGGAGATCACGCTGGGGAAACGGATAGGCTTCTACCGAATTCGAGGCGAAATCGGAAGTGGAAACTTCTCCCAAGTGAAGCTCGGGATTCACTCCCTAACCAAAGGTAGGATCTGATTTCCCAAAGGTCATCCCTGGCAGTATTGGGACCTGGCATAGGAGCAGGGTTAGGTGGCCAGGGCCGAGGAAGCAAGTTAAGTGATCTCAGTGGAGCCCCTGAAAGGGCCAGATCCCATGCCAGCTGCCTTCTGTGGTCTTCTCAGTTAATTTTCACAGTAACCTTATGAGGTCAATATTTTTTTCCATTTTGCAGATAGACAAAGTGAGATCCAAAGAAGGTAAATGTGTCTTGAGCAGTTCAATCTTAGATGTTTTTGACTCCAACATCCCTTTCCCTATACCATGCAGATGAAACCCACTCAAACATGAGAAGAATCTGTCCTCTCCAGTGAGCCCTTTAAGAAGAGGAGTTTGGCTTGGAACCAAGCCACCTCATCTCCCAAGCCCATATTTATAGCTTCCATTTATATCTGTGTCTCAGTGACAATGGCACAGTGTGGCACAGAGCCGCACAGAAGACCTCCTGATGGCCACTGTCTCTGGATAGCAGGGTCCAGTTTTCCTTCCATTCAGAGGCTGCTACTTCTGTCATATTTGAGAAAAAGGGCTTTGATCTCAGGACCTTTTCTGTTCAGTCCTTGCTCCACCCTGTCCTTGCTCTCATTGTTTGGCTCCTCACCCTACATTTGCTTGGCTACCGGTCAATTTGGGATTCTGGACTAGCAGTGCCCAGCACTTTGGCCTCAAGGAGAAATCATATGGAGAGCCCAGCACCCCTCTGCTGCTCCGACTCCATTGTGGGCACTTCCCCAAGGTACTTCTAACTTAGCAGAAGTCTGGGGATTATCATAAGGGACTTACAAGATAGAAACAGAACACTTGCGACTTGGCATAATTGACCGAGTCCTAAAAACCCATGGACTCTACCATCTCCTGAGAGTCCCTGACTGACATTTTCTCTGCTTGGACTCGGCCAGCCACCATGTCTCCAAGACCTCTCTTTCCTTTCATTAGAGTTGTCTTTTACTTCCTTATGTTCTCCAATCCCGATCCCATGCCCCTCCAATCCCTGTGCTAGGCCTTCGTAGAAAAATCTCCACACACATGTGTGCATACATGTACTCCCCCCACACTCCCACGTCACTTGAGTTTCACTTCTTCTATACTCTTGCTCTGAAGCCTGTGTATCTGGGTTCATGTCTTCACATCTTAGCTACTCTACTTACTCATCTGGGTAAATTAAAGTACTTGTCTGAGCCTTAGATACTTCATTTCTAAAATGCAGCTAGTAACAGTGCTTACTTCATAGGGTATGATAAGGGTTAATACTTGCTCAACAAATGTTAGTTAGTGGCCTTATTTTGCAGTTGCTTAATGAGCCTTGCCTTTGTACAACCCAAGATCAACTAAAGTATCTTTATCAGAAGTTCATTCCTGCCCATCCCAATACACAAATTGAGATCAGTTAGGCTGCCATTCACTACAGCCGTAATTTTCAACTGACTGCACAGTAGAATCACCTGGGAAGGTTTAAAAGAGAATTAGTGCCCAGAACCCACCCTCAGAGCTTCTTATGTGATTGATCTAGAGTGGGACTGGGCATGGGTAGTATTTAAAAACTCTCCAGATTTTTTTTTTTGAGTCAAGAGTCGCACTCTGTTGCACGGGCTGGAGTGCAGTGGTAAGATCTTGGCTCACTGAAACCTCTGCCTCCTGGGTTCAAGCAATTCTCCTGCTTCAGCCTCCTGAGTAGCTGGGATTATAGATGGGCACCACCACACCCGGCTATTTTTTTGTATTTTTAATAGAGATGGGGTTTCACCATGTTGACCAGGCTGATCTCGAATGTCTGACCTCGCGATCCACCTGCCTAAACCTCCCAAAGTGCTGGGATTACACGTGTGAGCCACCATGCCTGGCCCTAGGTGATTCTAATTGACATGTAACACTAAGATATATGTCCCTACAGCAACGTGTACATACCGCAGACAGCTTTTAAAATAGTGCTTTTTCTGGTGTGTGCCACAAGTGGATAATCCAGGTACCATTTGTACTTTAAAATCAGTTATGAAATACTGTGTCAGGTTTTCATGCTACATTTAACTTTCAAATTTCATTTCACTTGAGATAACATTCATTTATTATTCATTTAGGTGAACAATAGAAGCACTATATTAGGCCTTGGGGGATATAAAGATGAAATAGATACAGCCTTCATCCTCAAAGATAAGGGAAGAGAAGACATGTACAAATAAGTATAATACAAACCAGAATTTGAAAAACATAGAAGAGGAAAGCTATGTGCTTAAAGGAAGAAAAGAGACTCTTCCACCTTAGGAACACTGTGGAAGGCTTTAAGTGAAGATTGAATTTCAGCTACACCTAAAGGAGGGATAAGATTTTGGATAGGTGGTGAGTATAGGAAGAGAAGGGTTGGGGGTTAGAGGAGAACATGAACAAAAGCATTAATATGGGGAAATGGCATATAGTACAGTTACCCTAACAATAGGAGAAGTAGGGTAAAGGGCTGGGAACCTTAGCTGATGATGAATCATAGGGGACTTTGAACATTATCCAAGGATTTTGGATTGTTTTCCTTTTTTTTTGAAACAGAGTTTTTCACTCTTGTTGCCCGGGCTGGAGTGCAGTGGCACGATCTCAGCTCACTGCAACCTCTGTCTCCCGGGTTCACGAGATTCTCCTGCCTCAGCCTCCTGAGTAGCTGGGATTAGAGGTGTGCACCACCACGCCCAGCTAATTTTTGTATTTTTAGTAGAGACAGGGTTTTACCACGTTGGCCAGTCTGGTCTCAAACTCCTGACCTCAAGTGATCTACCTGCCTTGGCCTCCCAAAGTGCTGGGATTACAGGCGTGAGCCACTGTGCCTGGTCCAGGATTTTGGATTGTTTTTCTCGCAATGAAGACTCTTGAAAATTTTTGTTATTAGAATTGGGCTTTTGGAAGATTAACCCTATAGTGATGAGGATGAAGGTTGAAAAGCAAGAGATGCAGGAGACAGGGAGCTATCCGGAATCCATGGTGATGGTCCAGCCACAGGGAAGAATATCCTGAGCTAGGTGGATGGCAGTAAAAATAGAAAAGAGGAGCTGGTGACGCCAAAGAGAAGAATCTGGAGGACTGGTGTGTTAATCAGTGTTTTCCAGAGAAACAGCACCAATAGAAGAGAGAGAGAGAGAGACAGAGAGAGAGAGAGAGACATGCAAGGAATTGGCTCACACAACTATGGAGACTGCCCCAAGATTCACAGTCAGCAAGCTGGAGGCCCAGGAGAGTCAATGGTGTAAATTCCAGTCTGAAAACCAACAGGCTCATGACCCAAGAAGAGCCACGTTCAGCTTGAGTCTGAAGGCCAAGAAAGACCAGTGTCCCAGGTAAAGGCAGTCAGGCAGAAGCAGTTCCCGTTTACTCAGTCTTTTTGTTCTATTCAGGTCTTCAACCGAGAAAACACCCACACAGACACACCCAGAATAATGTTTAACCAAATGTCTGGGCACTACGTGGTCCAGTTAAGTTGACACATAAAATTAACCATCACAGTTGGTAACTGATTGGATGTAGCACTGAAGATGGAAGGATGGAAGAAGGCAATGACCTTGCTTTAGTTGACTGTGTGAACCAAAACAAGGGTGATGCCTTTAATAAGAATAGGGAAATATGGAGAAAGAGCAGATGTGGGAGGAAAAATGATGAGTGAAAACACTGACATCCAGAAGGAGCTGTCTACTGGGCAGTTGCATGCACCAGGCATGGGCATGGGCATGGGCATGAGGTCAGACCAGAGTTTGCATCGATTGTGGAAATGGATGCAGTCACTGAGGGGGACTGTGGAGAAGGGTGATGAGCAACTCTTTTCACATGAATAACTAGTTCTACATCCTAGTTGACATTTTATATGTGGAGTAGTTTTAAATATGCTAATGGGACCATTCACTGTTGTTCCATGAACACCATATTTTTTCCATGTCATTAAATATAGATATTTTTCAATATTGATATATATGTTTATATATCTATATCTATTTATTATCTATACTCTCATCTTTGAAAGAGGATGTATTGTTTCACATATAGCTGCAGCATAAATTCTTTAACTTAGCTACTATTAATTAACATTTGGATCATTTCTAAAGTTTCGCTGTTAATGAGAATGCTACAGAGATTACCCTTTTCCATATTTCTTTGCATATGTTTATGATTTCTCTCAGCATACATTCCTAGAAGTTAGCTGTCTTGGTCAGAGAGCATGCATTGAAACGTTATAGCCAGCTAGGTACAGTGGCTCATGCGGGCATTCCCAGCACTTTGGGAGGCTAAGGCAAGTGGATGACGAGGTCAGGAGTTAGAGAGCAGCCTGGCCAACATAGTGAAACCCCATCTCTACTAGAAATACAAAAATTAGCTGGGCATGGTGGCCTGTAGTCCCAGCTACTTGGAAGGCTGAGGCAGGAGAATCACTCGAACTCAGGAGGTGGGGGTTGTGGTAAGCTGAGATCATGCCACTGCATTCCAGCCTGGGCAACAGAGCGAGATTCTGTCTCAAAAAAAAAAAAAAAAAAAAAAGGAAGAAAAGAAAAAGAAAAATGTTAACACACAGCACCAGATTGAAAGAGCAGCTTTTGAATCCTAACTCATAGAGTAGATTTATCTGTAACTCAAATCTCATAGGGACCAATGTTGCTTTTCAGCGGCCTAGAGCCAGCGTGAAAGACAAAAGATAAAACACCAGGGTAATGAAAGGCAAAAAATTGCGACAGAAGACGTGATTTGGAAGGTTACAAGGGAAGTTGGATAAAGCCAAAAAAGGAGAGGAATTCAGAAAAGAGTTTCCAATGCTGCAGAAGGGTCACAGAGCTAATCTGAGCGAAGGCTACTGCATTAGGCCAACTTTAAGCAGTTTCATACGAGTGTGGGTTCAGATTCCAATAGAAAGGAAGCAGTATAGAACAGTAGGAAAAGTGTGGATTCGGGGACCAGACAAATCCATCTGAAACACTCATTCAGTTACTTACTAGGCTTCCGACTTTA